AAAAGGTATGATGCAATATGAATCCATCTTGGAAGTTTATGACGGGATAAGTCATCAAGTAATACATCATTTGGCACAACAGATCAGTTAAAGTTAATAATGCACATTTATTAATTATGCTAATGAATGTTCTTGCTGCAATTCACACCATTCTCTCGCATACAGCTGCTACTAATCTGTCTATCTGCAACAAACTCCCTGTATTCACTCCATCATCAAGGCAATTTCTATTTCATCATAAGAAACCTCTTCATTTTCGTCATCTGCCCCACTTTCTATGTCCTTGTTGTAGGGATTTTGACAGTGTGATTCTGCATGACAGGCACAAAAGAAAGTACACGGCAAGTGTCCTGTATGACAACCACACCTCTGAGTACTACATGGTTCATCGGTTGAACATCCACATCGAAGCAACTCTAACACCTCAGGTGGCACAAGAACCACATCTGGCGGGAGTGTTTTTGGAGTCAGAGTTTTAGTGGATTCATCGCGAGACCATCCATAGTCGGTAGCGTCAAAGAATGGGGGATCTGGCTCAGGGGCTGACTTCCATACCGCAATTTGAACATGTGCTCGTAAGACATTTTTCCTGAACGCCTCACTCGTTGGTGGTATCGATTTCAGATGTGGGGCAGCAGTGATGTTTTTCTTCCCCATTTTCCTTGACCAGAGATCAACTCGAATTTGCGACAAGTCATTTATTTCTTTGCTGCCATAGCAAGCGCCGATCAACTTTGTGGCTTCAGCAATAACATCATCCAATGATAAGTGAAGATCCCCCAAATGTTGAAATGTGAGCCCTTCTTTCAGCTTGTTGATGACGGTGCCTTTTCCAATTTCATGCAGCTTGGCAACCGAGTCACAGCCAGTAAGTCCATGGGTAGCCAAAAGATGTGGCACAATGTCTTTACTCTTTTTCACTGAGGCCTGTATATCAACTGAGACCCTCTCGGAGCTGGTGGCTTCCATTATCAGGGAACATTTCACATTCTGTTGGTTGCAAAAATGCATTAACAGAACGAAGACATCAGTATCATCGCAAATGACTTTGATGCCGTGCACTCCTTCCTGGTTGTGGGCAACGTGCAGTATCTGGTGTACCATTATAACGCCAGCTTCCTCGTAGGTTGTCCGTAGGTCAGCACGATTACTCTGATGTCCACAGAACAGTTCGATTGGAATCGGTTCACGGCCAGATACAACAAGCTTGTGTCGAACTGGTTCTCCACTGGCTAAACACTTCTCTACCAGATAATCACATATTATATCTATCAGCTGTATTTTGTTTTCGTTGACAGTGAGCACAACCTTTTGGGGTGGCAAGGGGCTCGATAGATTTAGATGATGCCGACGGGTTGCATGCTTGCCAGCCTTAGCTCCACGTGCCACGCTCTTGATTGAATAGTCGTAGTATCTGTCAAAAGTTAGGTAAACATCCGAGTGAGCAGCTTTTCTCATGACATATCCAAAGAAATTGTCTACATAATCTTTGGCTGTACCTTTCTCTGGCCAATGCACAGACTACAGAAGTGCACACCCGTCAATAACTGTCGCATCCACCTTGTCAACCACGCGAGACGAGATACCCACTTGTAGCTTTTTCTTTAGATCCGACTTAGTTGTTGCTATCCTCATTTCGGCATTGTCTTTGAACATGGAAGTAGGTATTGGAGCAAGCTCATGCTTCAGTACATGAGACAGGTTAATGTTCCGGGTCTGCTGCAACCCTAGCACTCTTG